AAGAACCCTGTCCTCCGTCTTGAAGATGGTCCTGCAGGTGAATGAATGGACAGCGAGCCTTTTCCTCAGGGACACCGAAGGGAGGATTCGTGAGATGCCAAGAGGAGTTAGTTTCCAATTAATCTCTCCAATTCTTCAGCAAAGCTTTCTTTTTCTGGTTATAAAAGTGAACCACGCTCTTTGCAGCACCTCCGGAAAATCTACAAAAGTGTAAAGAAGAAAATGGAAGATTAGAGTCCTACGATCCAAAGCTAACCATGGTTACTGTGGCAGAGCAGAGCTCTAAGCCACCTCTGTACATCCCAGCATCCCTCAGGCGCCCAATTCACGGCCAGCAGGTGGACCGGCCACCCCCACACTGGGGATCCTTGGGTTGGAGCCAGTAGGGAATCTGAGGGAGTGTGTGGGTGTATCCAGCAGCCACCACTGTAATACTGTGTAACCAACGACCTCAGCTTCACTGGCTTGCAATTATAAACATTTGTTTCTCAGTCAGGGTTGGCTGAGGATTGGACAATTTTCGTGGACCCAAACTGCATGTTGGGTCCATGTCTGCTCCACGTGGCTCTCGTCCCTCTGGAATCAAGGGGCTCCCAGAGGCACACCTCTCTCCATGGCAGAGCTTACCAGTGCTAAACCCCAAGCCCCACGGCACGATCATGTTTTAAGCCTCTGATTGTGTCACAGTTCACTAGTATCCTATTGGCCAAAGCAAGTCACGTGGCCAGCCCGGCCAAGAGGTGGAGAGGAGTGTTCTGCCCACCATGAGCCTCTGGCAAGCCCAAGGAAGTAGACACAACCCCGGGAGAGAGGACACTTTGGGACCCCTATCTATTTCACGACCCAATTCAATCTGCTGCACTAGGTGGAAATTAACACCCTGAGGGTCACGGGACTCCCACTTAGAAGCACTAATGTAGTGTATACCCTTCCATTCTTTTGCATATATAAATTTTATCAAATGGGGCTTATATTCTATTTTTTGAATCCCTTTTTCCACTTAACTTTACATCCTCTATTTTTCCTAACACTGTTTTTGAAAACATGTAATTTAATGGCTGCAGAATTATCAGATCCTAAAGTTGGGGCATTATTAAACTCTTCCTCCGAGATACTTAGGTTGTTTGAAGTTTGGCTACTCTAAATAACGATGTGGTGGCATCTTAAACACTCTGCTGGCATCTGTAACGGGCACTTCTGGGGTTTGCCGGAGCAGCATCAGGTCCCGCCTCCCTGCGATAACGGTAGCCTGGTTCCCCTTTGGGGGAACCACACGTCCCCTTCTTTCAGCCCACGTAGTTCATGTGGCATCCACCACTGGCTCCAGGGGAATGACTCTAGCCATAAAAGATATTCCACCTCTCCTAAACTCAAAAATTTGACCCAGGCTTGGCCAGTCAGGGATTAAAGAGAGGCATCTGACCCAAGGTGAGTCAATCAGAGTGAACCCTGAGACTTACCACAAAGGGACATTCTCTCTTTCTTGCTCTGACTTCAGCTTTGGAAGATGCAGGGCTGAGGTTGTTTACATGGAACTGGAGAATGAAGCCAAGATGCAGAAGAGCAAAGCCCAGAGAGAGAGACTGGGTTGACACTGAGCTCCTGATCAAGCTCTGCCCGAAGCAGTCCCTGACCTTCTAGTTTTTATAAGCCAATGCATTCTCTTTTTGGCTGAAGCCAAGTTGAGTTGGGCTGTCATTTTGGAACCAAATAGCTCTGGTTTTTTTCGCTTAAATTTCTCGGCTTGGAATTATTGAGCCAAAGGACGTAAACATTTTCTTAAGCCTCTTGAGACCTCTAATCAAATTGCTCTCTAGAAAATATATGCAAACAGTATCACACTGTTAGACAGCCTGTCTTACAAGCATTAGTGTATTATTAGTTTGCATCTTCTTATGGACAGAAATTACATTGTTTAATTCTATTTTTTGTAAGGTGAAATATTTTTCATGTTTATAGCCATTTTTATTTATTTTGTTTTTTTCTGAATATGAACAATTGTCTGTTCTACTTTGTGAGAGCTCTTTAAAACATTGATCCTTTTCCAAATTTGTCATCATTTCCCTCTAGTTTATTGTCTTTTGATATTTGGATGCGTTCTGAGGTAGATGCGTTTTAATTTTTTTTTTAACGTTCATTTATTATTGAGAGACAGAGAGACACAGAGCATGAGCAGGGGAGGGGCAGAGAGAGAGGGAGACACAGAACTCAAAGCAGACTCCAGGCTCTGAGCTGTCAGCACAGAGCCGGACGTGGGGCTCGAACTCACAGAGTGTGAGATCATGACCTGAGCCGAAGTCGGACGCTCAACCGACTGAGCCACTCAGCCGCCCCGCGTTTTTAATTTATATGTGACCAAATTATTTTCAGGTATCACTTCTGTGGCTTTCATGCTTCCCAACTGAAGAGCAGGTCAACACAGACCAGATTTCCTTCTTTTTGGCATTTAGATACCCAGTATTTCTCTCCCTACGATGGGAGAACCATCTCATCTGAACCACCCAGGAGCTTGTTAAAAATCCAGATTTCCAGGCCCCACGTCAGAACCAGCATCTTCAAGAACAATCTCTAGATGTCTCCGTGGTTAGCAAATGTCACGGTGGTTTTAATGAACACGAGAGTTGGAAAACAACCACTCAAAGGAACTGGTATACCTTGGTGTGTGTGGTCTAAAAAGAGGACATAATTTGATTTTCCCACCATTTTTTTTCCCAGCACCAGCCACTTGCTAACAATCCAGCTCTCCCAGGATGGTCTGCGGGAAGAATCTTCTCACACTTGAAGTTACTTAAAGCTGGAATTCATTGACAGGTAATGAGCTCTCAGTCTCACAAAATGTCCAAGCCCCGGACCAACTGGTGTCTTGGGGTCTCGGGGTCTGAATGGGAGGTTAGATGAAGTGACATCTCCTAAGGTACCTGAACTACTGCTTTTTTTTTTTTCTCTCCAAATGCACTTGAAGGCCTTTCTCCAGCTGACCGGGAACCCAAGAAAACGTACCTTAAAGGGACAGGGTCTAGGCGGAGAGAGCTTCTGTCGGACATAAAAGCCCAGAAAGGACTGAACCCCAGCGTTCGTGTACATGCCTGCAGCAGCACGGCTAAGCCCAGGGCCCCATCTGTCTCTTTCATGAGCCAAGCCCCTCGCCGTGGAGGCTGGGAGCTCCTAAAAGACTCAGCTGCCCGTTGCAAATGTAGATTGATGGCCGGGCCACTGTCACCCCAGGCATCTGCTCTGATGGTCCTCCTCCCCGAGGCGTGTAACAAAACATCTGAACCAGACCTACACAGTCACAACCGGTGCACAGCATGCGGATGGCAGGGGACAGGAAGAAGGAAGCACTCCTCAGAGCCCTCACAGGCAAAGCCAGGAAGCCACAGGACCGTGCCCCAGGCCTAGAAGCGAGTGTATGTCCGGTACCTTCTGGGAGGTTAGACAGGGTGGGGACGGCCCTCCCAGGCTGCCAGGTGCAGGCCCATCACGCAGGCGGGACGCTGAGACCCAGGCATGGGGGGCAGGGGGGGGGGTGGTGGTGGTGGTTGTGCTCAAGGAGGAGCAGAACCAGCTTAGGCAGTTAGGATTTGCCGTAATTCTAAAGCAGCGGTTCTCAAGGTGTGGTCCTGGGACCTCCAGCATCAGCACCTCGTGAGAACATGCTAGAACTGCAAATTCTAGGGCCACCTGGGTGGCTCAGTCGGTTAAGCATCTGACTCTTGATTTCGGCTCAGGTCATGATCTCACAGTCGTGGGTTCAAGCCCCACGTCGGGCTCTGCACTGACAGTGCAGAGACTGCTTGGGATTCTCTCTCTCAAAATAAATAAACGTAAAAAAAAAATGCAAATTCTAAGGCCTCTAAGACCCCAGATTGTTGAATCAGAAGCTCTGGGAGCGGGGACACACTCTGTGTGGTCACATGTCTTCCGGACAAAACGTTCGAGTCCAAGAATCGTTGGCCCAGCATGTGCCCACGTTACAGGGAGATGGACGGGATACTCTAGGTGTCTTTGGAAAGCAGATGTTGCGGGGAGAGGGAGAACAGAGGAAGGCAGGAATGTGGGAGGCTCCCTTCAAGGGACTGAATGCTTGCGTCCCCTCACCCCAAATTCACATGGTCACATTGCAGTCTCCAGTGTGTTAGGAGGTGTTAGATCATGAGGGTGGCGCCCCCAGGAATGGGATTTGTGCCCTTATGAGAGAGACCCCCATAGAGCTGCTTTGCCCCTTTGACCCTGTGAGGACACAACGAGAAGACGGCCGTCTATGAAGCAGGACGCAGACCCCTGCCAGACTGCTATTCCACCAGTGCTTTGATCTGGGACCTCCGGTCTCCATAAGTACGAGAGATAAATGTCCGTTGTTTAAGCCCCCAGTCTGTGGTCTTCTGGTGTAGCAGCCCAAGACCAAGCCACCCCCATGTGTGGCCTCTGGACCGACGTCCAAACCTCGTAGCTGGGCCTGTGGACCCCGCGATGGTTCCGCAGTCCACCTTCTCAGACCGCCCATCAGGTTCTTCGGCTCCAGCCAGACTGGAAACCCCTCCCCTCGTGATCCCTTCACTTTCTGAGCCCCGCCCCCCACCATGACCTCCGCCTTCTGGAATCTGACTCCAGCCTACCTGAGATGTCCTCTTTGCTCCAAAGGCCTGTGAGACCAGAACTTGAAACAATGGTCCCCCCTTGGTTCCCCTTCAAGCCGTTCAGAAGACCAGACCACACTCAGCCTCACTGTATGTAGCTCCTCTCGCTAATTCCGCAGCTAAGTCCTACTCCTGCTCCTACGGTCCCTCCCTCTGAGCCGCCTGTCCCCTCTCCCAACAGCACCTGGAAAATGATGACCCTCGGCGTTTGTGGACCGAATAGCAGCATCTTTTCTGAAACTCTTCTTTGAAAGTTAACTCGCTGGTTCGCAGCTGGTCAGTTGCTCTTAACTTGCGACTTTCATCCACACCAAAAAGCCGAGGCAGGCCGGCCTCCAGACGTGAATTCTTTCCAGGCGGCGGTCACCAGGAGGGTGTCAAACCAGTGCTTTCATCCAGACCAAGCTCTTCCACCCCCAGCCCAAGGACATCCAGCTGGGGAGGGGGAGGGGGACTCCCTTAGATGCCCTCTCACCCAACTTTCCAGGCAGGCTGGAGAGGGAGGGGTTCTGCCTTGCCAAGCTCTCCCCGAGAGCAGCATCCACTCCGGGCAGCTCTGGGACCCTCGGGAAACGCAGAGGGCACTGACCCTGCTTCTGCTTCTGAGGAGACACCCCCGATGAATAAATCCAGGACCCCCAGCCTGCCGTGCTCCCCGGTCTGCAGTGGGCAAGGCGAGCTCTCACACCTCCCAGGCCCTGAGGGGCTCTTTGCGGGAGTTTCTGTGACACGCATATTCCTAAAAGCTAGCCACCTATCCAGAGCTCTTCTTAGACAAACCCACTGACGACCTTGACAGTGCGGCCCTGGCTCCCAGGTGCAAGTCCAACCTGGCAGGTCCCCCCCTGACCTCCCGCTGCCTCCTACCCGGCGAACTCCCTCTCTCTCTTCCCCGGTCCGCAGCCTTGTTGCCTGCCAATCCCCCAGTGCGGGGGAACAGGCTGGCTCCCACCCACTTGGGGGCACTGTGGTGACAAAAGGAGGCCGAGGGGCTAAGGAGATGGTCCTGAGGCTGGCAGGGCTGGCTTGGTGGCTGGCCTGGTCCATATGGGCTGGAGCGTGCTGAAGTCTGGGTGCTGGGAAAGGGCATTTGGGGAATCGAATCTCGATCCCTTGGGCATTTCCTGAAGGACCTGGGGTATCTTCTGAGGCCCTCGCTCTTGTCACTGTCCGCTGACCAGCACACTCTGGGTTCCACGCGCAGTGATATAAATCTCACTGTCTCCATTTTGTCCAACATAAATTCCTGGGAGGAAAAAGAAATCTCCGTCGCCTGAAGGTGCTTTGACACCACTTCCCAGGGACCAAAGCACCATCAAAGGTTACCTACACTTCTTTTAACTCTCACAAGCGCCCTGCCAAGGATGTGCTATAGGTGACGGTTGGCAAATGACCAAACTGAGGCTCAGAGAGGTTAAGTGACTTGCCTGAAGCTGCACAGCCCAGTGGTAGCAAAGCTAGATGACTGAGTCCAAGTACTTGTGTGGCTTCCTGATGCGGCCGCTTGCCTCTTTTCACCGCTTCCTCCAAGAAGCCCACCCTGACTGCCCCCAGCCTCCCTCTCTTAGAGGCATTAGTTTCTGAAGGACCTTCTACCTCCAACTCTTAGCACAACGCTGAGCACATGTGGGCGACTCAATACGTCTCGGTTGAGTGATTGTTGCAGGAGACCCACGGGACCCCTTGACATCACCGTGTAATTTCTTCCTTTTGCTTCGGAAGAAGATGAAATTAATGTACTGTGAGTATGTAGACAAACGTGCCCTTATTGAAAACGACATCGCTCATATCACAATGTGAATATGAATAACATGAGTTTTGCCCCAGGGGAAGCCAACGTGGTGAATGGTGTCCCTGGAGCTGGGCCGCTGAGCAGCCCTGATACGTGTGAAGTGCTTGTGAGGAGTCCTTCTCAACGGAGGCGCAGGCTTGCTGACTGTTGGCTGTTGCTATGGCAACCCTGGGGCGGGGCGGGCGTTCCGGGTTCCAGAGGAACCAAGCATCCTGTGTTTTGAACGTCTCACTGAGCCTGCCTCAAGTACGGAGAGCGAGTTGTGACCTAGAATGAAGCCAGTATTGAAGAGGACAGCCAGCAGTGTGTGGAAAGGACGAATCTTTGATGAGCCAGGGAGCCTCGGATCACACCATTCCTGAAACCCACCCGGCCACTGAGCTTCCACTCGTGACGCCACCATGACCTGCTGGAAGAATTAAACCATCTCAGAAAAGGACAAAGTTGGAGGACTCAGAGCTCCCGATTTCAAGACTGACGACAAAGCTATAGTCATCAAGATAGTGTGGTATTGGCATTGGGTAGACATCTAGACCAACGGAATAGAATTGAGAGTCCAGAAATTAACCTTCACGTTCACAGTCAGTAGAGTTTTGACAAGAGAGAGGAGAGGCCAATGCAACAGGGGAGGGTAGTTTTGTTTTTTTTTGTCAACAGATGTTATCAGGACAACCTGAATATGTTTATGCAAAAGAGTGAAATCGGACTCTTATCTCATACCATATACAAACGTTTTAACTGAAAATGGATCATAAACCTACATATTAGAGCAAAAACTATAAATTTCTTATAAGGAAATTTAGGTACAAATCTTCATGACTTTGGATTACAGTTTTTGTGATAGTTTCTTTTTTTTTTTTAATTTTTTTTAACGTTTATTTATTTTTGAGACAGAGAGAGAGAGAGAGACAGAGCATGAACAGGGGAGGAGCAGAGAGAGAGGGAGACACAGAATCGGAAGCAGGCTCCAGGCTCTGAGCCATCCACCCAGAGCCCGACGCGGGGCTCGAACTCACGGACCGCGAGATCGCGACCTGAGCTGAAGTCGGACGCTTAACCGACTGAGCCACCCAGGCGCCCCTTGTGATAGTTTCTTAGATGTGATGCCTAAAGGCAAGTAACCCAAGGGGGAAAAAGTAGCTCACTTGGATTTCATCAAAATTAAAAGCCTTTGTGCTTCACAGCACACCATCCAATGAAAAACACAACCCATAGAATGAGAGGAAATATTTGAAAATTGTATATTTGGTAAGGGACTTGTATCTAGAATATATCTTAGAATGCAATAAAAAAAAAAAAACACCCAAATAATCTGATTTAAAAATCGGCCAAGGATCTGAATAGACATTTCTTTTTTTTTTTTTTAATTTTTTTTTTCAAAGTTTATTTATTTTTGGGACAGAGAGAGACAGAGCATGAACGGGGGAGGGGCAGAGAGAGAGGGAGACACAGAATCGGAAACAGGCTCCAGGCTCTGAGCCATC